AGACATGTACGCTTCACCATTTTATGGCGAATTAATATTGCAAATGCATATTATTTCTTCTTCCTCTTACAGAGGAATTGCTGGAGATATAATATTCAGTAAAACCAATTACATTAATACTAGGAATATTAATCAGCTCTCACAGGAATCGTAAACAAAATAGGAGTTTTGAATTCTCGCCAATAGGGAGCATTCTTTTCTTGCAGGGGCATCTAATTTACATCGCTGCACAGTTGTTGGTTATTTTGAATGCTTTGGAATTAGCGCTCTTGAATTATAATGTAATGATGAAACTAGAATTAATTAATACACTTTGTTTTATTTTAAAACAAACAAGTTTGAAACACACTATGTCATATCCACTCATCACGGAAAGATATGCGTCCATTGTATTTAAATGGTAATTGGAAGCGTATGATTGCATGTAAATGTCGTCATACAATAAACCATTAGTGTTGGTTACATGGATGGAATTTTGTTTCCTGTCAAAGGTTTCATAATGAAATGTTGCTTAAAAATGTCAGAGTATTTAGTGATTCATATGCGGTCGTGTTTGATTGCTTTGAATTTAACATCTAAATATGCAGATTTTCTGTACAATGGAACTTTCATACGAGATATTATTTATCAAAGATATACCAGTTGAACATATTAAAACGCTTTAATTCATGATAGAAAAATATTATTGTAATCATTTTTGTAACCATTTTATAAAATATATTGAGAATATTTTTAGGCAACGAGTGAAAAAAATTACAATCCATTATCCAAAACAAATGTATACTTTTTGAGGTGTAGATTTGTTTCCATTCATGGCAAAACAGTTGACTCGCTCGATTGAATGATTGATTAGTGTTTCTAGGAGCGTCAACGCCACAGGTCCTTTAAGAGGGTAGTGAGATCCAACGTCATCATACACATCAGCATGCCGGGGTTTCCTCATTCATGCATCTTGGTAGACAACAGGGCGCAACTTCAGTCGGACAAGCTCTCAGTTCTCAATTGATCTCCCGACATGTGTGGTAGTGTAATGCATGTATGTGTAAAAGCCCATTCACAACGTAAACGTAAACATAAGCATAATGTATAGACGTAAACATTAACATAAATAAGAGACTGAAGTATTCACAATATGTAATATAACCGTAAGCAAAATAAGGCCTGGCTGTGAGACACTCCAGTTAACAATTTGTTCGATGTGAGAATCGATTTGAAGGTATCGACTGTGTCCATGGCTCATATGGCATGTGTTCTTCTATCGACTTCGCTCTAATTTCGATACTCAATTTTAGGTTATCGTTCTGTGATTGGTTCATTTCTTATGTCTTACTTAAGCACAGAATCTTGCAAGCTTTTAAGTTGACGTCTGACATGTTATGATTATGCGAACGCGTTGTGAATGGACGTAGTCCTAACTTTTATGTTAACGCTATGCTTATGTTTCTGCTTACATTGTGAATGGACCTTAAGAGTGTGTAAGTAATTAGGGAGGATAGGACAAAGAAAAGGAAGGAAGAACGGGCGCGAAAGAAATTTTGCCAATGAAAATGAAGAACTTTTGAAGATTTTGAGGATAAATAAATTCACGAAAACTACCGAACACAATTTTTGGGATTTTAAACTTATTGTGATATTGTTGTTTGCCACCCAATTTTTGTGAGTAAAAGTTCGAATGTGTAGCTAATCTATTTAAACATTAAGTACTTTTAAAATTAAAAATTCGTTGAAAAGTTTTCAAAAATTCAATTCAAATGTTCTATTTTTATAACAGAAAATACTTTAAAGCGATTGCATTAACATAAATGAATTAAAAATAATGAACTTATGCGTCCATAATAATCTAAACAACTCATGTTTGAATTATTGATTGATTATTTCATGTCTGATGGCGGTCACCCACTGAGATGGCTCAGGGCATCAACTGATGTCACTGCAGGGCCTCTGACCGGGAGGTCTTTGTTCGAGTCCTGGCAGGACACTAGCTAAATAGCTAGGCCGACTTCAGTCACTGTGTGAAGAATTCCAGCGATCGACTGCTCTGATGGGTAGTTTTCCGTGATTTCTCCGATCAACATCAGGCGAATGTCGCAGCAATACCCTAACAAATGCGCCAAGGACCGCGCGCGACCATTCCTGCCTCTTTCTCGTATATATGCAGTACACTACCTGACATGTATTAGTCAGGTATAGACTGAGGTGTAAAGCGTGCCCCAGAAGGAAATTCCCGCTAGTTGTGATGCAGGTTGGCGTCGGATCTCTCGATCCAGCAGGAGAGAAATAAAACACTCACTACCCTAACGACGCTCATGATTGAAGGTGTTTTCGCGCCTAGAAACGTCAATCTATCAATTCACGAAAACTACCGATCAGAACGTCCGATAGAATTTCCCTCTAGCCAGCGGCTGAATTCCATCTACAGCTCGATCACTTGAAAAAAAAAACATCAAGGCGCAGCTTACCTCGGGAGGCGTGGCAAAGCCATCCCCCATTGCTCCCGAAGGGGAGATCAGTTGAACTCAAGGACCGCCCGCAACGATAACTGATTCGCTTTTGCAATTCGTTCTCACGCTTCAACACTCTGGGGATCGGGGCGTCCAAGGCCAGGCTGCCTTCCCCCCGCCCGCGCAAGATGAAGTGGCGGCGGCGGCGGCTCCTCAAGGCGAGACATTTGAGCGTCTAAGTGAGCTTCCGCCCCTTTTCGCGCATTTTCCAGAGTTTTCTTCTAAGTGGTTGCGTTATAGCTATTTCGCTAGCGTCGAAAAACCAGCGCCGGGGGGAACTCGACCCAGCACCGACCGCTTAGAGGCACTGCAGTAACACCATAACCGAAAATCCACGAATATCGGGATCCGAACCCTTGGACCTCCGGGCCGGGAAAGCTGCAGTAGCGACCGCTGTTACCGTCAGCCACCCCAGCGGGATGGGAACCCGAGATCGAACGCAAAACACCGAGTAACGAGCAAAGTTGGCGCAACTCGAGGTAAGACGCAGCGCGCCCTCACCTTGCTCGCCCCGCGGGCGCCGAGGGCCTCCGCCGAAGGCAAGGGCGAGGGCGAGGGCGAGGGCGAGGGCAAGCGCAGGGGCGAGGCCGGAAACACGAAGGCTCACGCCGCGCCGGCGACGGAGCCCGCGCTAGGCCGCCACCTAATCCAGGGCTCCGGGGCGCCGCCCTCGGAAGCTCGTTGCGGGGCCTGCACAGGGCGCTGGCGGGGAGCAAGAAGGAAAGCCCCGGGGCGGGAGGAGCAATCTGTTGAGCCCCAACAATTTCAGGAGGCCGACAGGTGGAATGTGCGAAGGAAATAATGGCGGCAGGGAATAAACAAGCATTGATTACCTCTATAAGATACATTGTCCTCCAAAAATAATTAATTCAAGAAATAGTGTAAATGAAATTTTTGTACATGATATAACTACGTTCCCTCTCTACTACAGACTGGCTTCGTTACCAATTACGTTGTACCCCCTCACCAAACATTGAACGTGTCCTTCCTCATTTTCTCAATTTTATAATGCGATTTTTATAAAGCGGCGCTTCAACGCCCGGTTTGACAGTGGCATTTCGCATCTTTCTTGGTCGTGCCGCTAAATGTCGCGACCGTGTCAAGCAGTGCTTTATCAGGCGAGATCTAGCGGCACGACCAAGAAACGCGAAATGTCACTGTAAAGACGAACCTTGAGGAGCAGCTTTACAAAAGTCACACTGTAGTTGTCGCTCTACGTAGTGATAAACGTGATTATAACATTAAGATGTTTGTATGCATCTATTATTTTATGTAATTTATATCTGTTAGACTGTTCATAATCCTTTGCCAAATATTTGTACTGTATTCTTTCCAATTAAACTATGAATTATCATATTTCGTACCCGAGTTAATCTTGAACTCAATGACCTCCAAAACTCGCAAGTATGAACAAATAAGATTTGATAACATGTAAAATGTTCATCTGTTGAAGCAAAATATGGAAATACATATTGGTAATAAATGTTGAACGAAAATATAATCACTTCCGTTCATTGGACATATCATAACATACTTTTTACATGGGAGATAACTAAATAGGGCATTGTAAATACAACGCTATTTTCGAGTTTATAACTTTAAAACGATTAAGGTTACAACAAAAACTTGTTGGAACCTTTATGTAGGAAATTTTATCTACTTCAATTTTGTATACATCATAATTTTCGGAAAGATTGCTAATTAAGGAGTTATATACAAAAATGTGTCAAAATCACCTTCAACCCCCCCCCCCGGGGCCCACCACCAACATTCCAGGATTTTTAATACAATGTATTTACGAACAAACATACCAAGTTTCAATACTTCAGGATGTTTACTTGCTACTGTTCAGGATGTTGGGGTTTACTTCAGAATGATTCATTTCCATCTAGTATTGTGCCATTTCATGTATCGTTCCGTACGTTTCAGACAACTTAGAACATTGTTTTATAAAAGTAAGACACATAGTCTAACATCCGTATTATATAATTATTGACTAATTTGTGTGTGTTGTTTTTGCATTCAACTTCTCAAATATATGTTTTATGGAGGTGCCAAAGAGGCTCCGATTCTGCGATCTCAAGTGTATAATCCGGTCATCTGGAGAAGAAGAGATCTGAATTGCATCAAAATGTCATTGAGTAAGTCAGTTTTGAGGAATACCACTAATTCATAAATTAAAAGACAAAACAGTGGTAGCGTTCTTAGCTCAATAAATAGTCTTTTTACCAAATTTTCCCCAAACAACTGTTTCCACAACAAATGTGTACTTCTTTGCAGTCTTTGTTTAATTTAAGCTTGCAAATCTTACCTGTTTATTACTCTCCAATTGTAGGGTTTGAATGAAAATGTGATGGATTAGAAAAAATAGAATGTGTTTCAAACTAACAAATAATACTTCTCCAGATAAAAAGTTGAGAAAATTATGTTTGTTCTTTGAATGTCAATTATTAAACTCAAGTATACATTTGTTTTTTACTATAAATGAAAATGTTTTTCTTAAAAAAAAGCCCTTAATTCTTCAACACAATGTTTCATGTTAGCACTTTCAGGTGTATACACAAATATATATACCTTGCAGATTTCCGCCTGAAAATAAAAAAAAATACAAACATTTTTTGAAGATAATGAATAAAATAAAAAATTAAAAACTAATGTCACACAGAAATTAGAGATGAAACTCGTTAAAAATGAAGTATAAGTAAAAAAGATAATAAAATCGACTGGAGAGAACTTACCAAAAATTGTTAATTTAGCACATCTTTTTATCTCGAAAAACTGTAGAACTTCATAAAAAATTATTTCAAAAAATATAACTTCAAACACAAAAGCACACAAGAATCAATAAGTAAAAATTATGAATTGCCTTTATTATTTTTTTCATATACCTTCACATTATAAACAAAATACATTAATGACAATGTCATCAGAAAACTGAAAGATACGAAAAGGAGGGAGGTAAGAGAGAAAAACTAAAAGTATCCGTCCACCACAAGAGTTCTAGAAAGTAATGGCGGTTGGGTCTGATGTACGAATCAATGTTGCCAGATGCGGTGGCTAGAACTATACGTGTAGAATGGAAGGAAGGAAATTATGGTACAGTATGGTACCTACTAAATTATAGTATAATTATTCTGCCTGATGAAAAAAAAGACCAAATACGAAATAAACGCACCAGTGTTAAATAGTCTCATAATAAGTTTATACTGTGATACAATAAAAATCAGGTAGTACTGAATGATTTGAACAAAGAAAATGGTTTCTTATATGTAAAGTGTTAAATTGTACACTACAGAAGTGAAGAAAAGTGATTCCAAATCAAACAGCAGTAACGAATATTGACACAGATTAGATCTCAATATTTTAACCTAATACAAAGTTTTTAATCAATTTGTTAACAGAGATTTGTTGGATTTTCCGTTATTTGTAATTTAATAAAATTTACAAGTAATTTATGTGAAGTCAACTAAATTAAAATATTTGGTCATTAATTTTATTAGATGAGAATGTTTTCGAGAATCGTTATGAGGATGTTAAATTAAATAATTAGTGTAAAGATAGTCACCCATTACACAAAAATCAATCAGTAAATGACTCACTTTGTTCATTTTGTTTGTTTCTTTAGATTTTGTGTACATTTAACTGTGTATTAAAAAAATAATTTGGATATTTCTGTTTCTTTGTTTTTTTCTGGCAATATTGGGTCACACTTGTGTGAGAGGTGAGCGGTATATCGCTTTCAAGTGTGCGGGAAAAGAAAAACCCATTCCTCATATTTAGTAAAAAAACAGAAATATCTCAGTAATAAATATTTTTTAAATCACTTTAAACATTGTGCTGCAATTATGGTATTATGGTACACTTATATTTAGAAATATAAATTACGGTACGATTCTATAATTATGCCAACACAGGTATGAATAAACTTGCCAAAGTCATTCACCAATCAACGCAGTCTATTCCAACTACTGGAGTGGTTCGCCACTTCGTTGCCAGTTCCCCTATTTCACCTCACCTCACAGGGGCAAGCTGTACGGTCGCCGCCGTGCCAAAGCCTCCTAAACCCAGGCCTGTCTGAGCGCGCTCAGGCGTCGCACATTCAAATTGGCTAATCACATTCAGCATAGCCAATTAGCTCTTTACAACCTATGTAAGGTGCATTCCGAAATATCTCCCCGGGCGTGTATTAAGCGAAAATTTCACAAGTTGCGCCAACTTATTAACTGGAGATATGGAGCAACGTTTGTATTCATATAGAGGCAGAGCTGCGCGGCGCCCGTGGGTGGGGTGGAGGGGTTGCGAGGCGGGGAGCATCGAGGTCACGTGGGCGAGGAAACGCCCCGCTGAATCCCCCGGCAGCTTCCGGAGACTCTGCAAGCCCAACCGGCCGTCTTTTCCGGTTAGCGGAAAGATGCAACGCGCTACCCGGAGCATTGTGAATAAGAAACGGGTCAATGCGCAGAACTACGGCCGCTTCCGAGGGAATCAATTTTACTCCGATAATTATATAAATTGTGAATTATTTCTGTGAATACTTTGTGTATTTAATTCGAGGTGATCTTCAACTTGTAATTGTATGTACTCAATATTTTCACATAAAACTTACTTCTATATAAATTAGCATATATGTTCATATACAAATAGAAATACAACTGTGATGTTCATTCACGTTAGAAATGAAGCAAATCTTTAATTTCTGGCAATAAATGTTAAAATAAACTATTTTTTTAATTATGGAGGGAACAAAATATACAAACCTCTCCGGGAGAAGTCTATATCCCAAGTCCCTTTCTAAAAATGTATGTACTACAAAAATTATAAGAAATTCAAATAGTCACGGCATTTTATGGGAAATCTTCATTTTTTATAATTATTTAAATATGTCATTATATGTATAATTGCACATGTCTTTGTATCTGCGAACTTGCATTTAATCTGTCTAACGTGATATGTTTGAGTAAAAAATCAATTTTATTTTCAATAAATAGTGTTTTTAATTGTTTGATAGTTATAATTTCTAAAATGATTTACCTAAACCTAGTTAATTATAATATGTCATATTTCACTTAGCTTCCAATTGACTTAGAACAAAATTGATCCGAATATCATTTCAGCAAAAATAATGATACGTATTCTGGTGCATTATCCCGAGCCTCAATCTACTATATTATAAATGTTAGAACGCCTTGAGGGGGCTGAGAAATTATTAAATAACTTTAAGGATGATATTTACATCCTTTAAGGTGTACCGTGAATTCTCAACATGTTTGTCCACAATTCCTTACCCAACTCTTCTGGGGGATCGGTAAAGACTATTCGGAGGTGAAAAAGGGAGTTTGATACGTTTCTGCTAGAATATTGTTACAACACTGTTAATGTTATTTGAAAAACGCTAATTTTAATCCCATTAGAAAAACAAAACTCTGGAAAGCAACGAAAAGTATTAATCAAAGTGGCTGAAAGTTAAATTACACATTTTTCTCACACTTCAAACGAAAATAGGAGATGGGGTAGTTAAAATTCATGGCACAAAATAAGTACCATTCCAGATTATGCAAGAAAAGACGTACAACTCCCAAGAACGGAGGAGAAAATATCGCGCAGAAGCAGATCGGGGAGGGGGCGGGAAGATGGAGACGAAGCCTCATGCCAAAGCGTGGAAGGGCTCGCGTGCAAGGGTTATGACCGCTGGCTATCGGCGCGAAGGAAATCTGACTTTACCGCAATGCTGCACCGCCCCGCCCTCCTCTCCCCACCCAGGCCCGCCTCGCCGCCCTCGCCGCCTCGCCGCCGCGCCGCCACGCCCGCGAGGCGGTGGAAGCGCAAAACGGGAAGGACCCCCCGCCGCCTCTTATCGGAGCGGAAATTCTTCTTCACTTGCTGCGATAGGGGGCGGGGGCGGGGTCGGAGGGGGCGCGGCGAGTCAGGGTAGGGAGGCCGGAGCAGGTCAGGGTGAGGCCAGTGTGGGTGGAAGAAGGGGGGGTGAGGTGAGGAGGGCGGATTGGGCGGAGACTTTGTCGGAGAGCGAGCGGGGACGCGGAACGTGGGGGGGGCGGGGTGCGTGCCAGATGCGGGGCCGGGGTTGAATGGCGGGGGCGGAGGGAACAGGATGAGGGTGGTGCGGGGTAAGGACGGGGAGGGGTTAGTAGAGGCGAGCCGTGCCGGGTGGGGTGGAAGTGAGTTGAAGTGGGTTGGCGGCTTTGGCGGGGGGGGTAGGGGCGGAACCGGGCCGGGTGGGGTAGGGTGGGGCGGGGCGGGCGCCACAGAGGTCCAGGTGATGGGGCGGTAATGGCACTTGCAGGCAGCGAGCGCTCGCGACCACGATTGCCCCCACCGATGAAGTCTGGATGGCTTCGACAAAGACAATCGGGAGATCGCGAACATGGTCTGCAATTTAAATATGTTAATTTCAAAATATAAATACAAGTCTTAAAACTCAATATTTACCTTAATATTAAAGATTCTTTCGAATATTTGCGAATTAGAGCAGATAAATGGCCTACAGTTTCTTATAAATAAGTAATTACATTAATATTTACAGGCCGTTGAGATTAGCTTATATACATTGTAGTAAAGAGTATAATGAAGCATATAAATTATTTTTTACATGATATGAAAATTGTGGGGCGAAAAGTTCATAATATATAACTATATATAACTGCCGCTCTCTCTGGTGCCTGGTATCGCACCACGCAATTGGATCTTGGATCTATTACTGGGTTTACTGTATTTACTCTTTGGCCCTTCGATTCAACACGGGCGCAACATGAGGCCTTTGGATTTGGCAAACAGATGGGTGGCGCTGTCTAGCGCTGTGCGGTGATGGAGGGAGTCTCAGGGGAATACCAAAATTCTATCTTCGCCTGATTCGCTGCAATGTAATTTAATGAATTTCGCTTGTTATTGAAAGTACACCATTTCAGTCAATTACTGACGCCATTCAGTGCATTATTTATGATGCTTAGAGAATTTGTTTTTATTTGATGTTAGGTTTACTGATTAAAAATGTACACTAGATGAATTCTTTGTGTAAAGTTGACCGATCTGGAAGTCCCTTTCTCGAAAGATGCAGCAGGCTGCAGTTACACCCCGAAGAGCGCTAGTGGAATATGAGCGTGTGTGTGGAAGGATCTTTGTTTCAAAATATATAAGAGTAGTGATATTTTCGAAATAAGATTATTTTATTGATGTGAAACGTGTCGTATCAATAGTGTTTGTTGAGTTGTGCTGGAGTCGAACTTAAGCGTCCAGTGGAAATCAAAGGCAGAACCACGTGCGCGGGAGGTGTATAATACACCTGACTCGGTCACGACGCATTAAATTATGTAAGTAATGATTCAATATACACTTATATTAAACTTAGTTTGTTATCAATTCGTTTGAATTGCTTACATTTTTATTATATTTTCGTATTTTGAATTTTTGAAATTATATTTCCGTCATTCGATAGAGGTGGAACCTCCAGTATGGGAACCAGCCGCCACTGTAGGGAATGAGAATTGGAAAGATTCAATGAAAAAGAGATCGGGTTGCATGAAATGGTGACAGCGTACAAAAACTTACTGTACTGCAACTACTACATAACATTT